CTATTGTTTTGTCATTATTAGAAGGTTTTACATACCTTCTTGTTCCTTTGTTTGAGTAGATCTTTCGCAAATGCCTTGGAAGGAGCACAGAACAGGAGCTGAATATTGGGGACAACATCTCCATTTTTATTTTCATTCATTTATTAAGATTTTGAGAAATGTATTCCGCTGGTATGTATTCTTTGTTCTGTGCATGAGTAAAAATGATATAAAGTTTGTGATGGAAGGGTTACTATTAATAATGCTATCCGATATAAAAATGATCTGAAATGGCACAGATTAAGAAGTACTGGAATAAAAAGGTTTGGAAATATTTGTGTGTTTTCAGGGAAAATTCACCAGCAGAATTTCTGAGCACGCCTTGATGGATTATTGTAATTATTGGGAATGATAATATTTTAATGTGACTTTCTTCCCACCTGTCAGTTGCAATCAAGGCTGCCCAGTATTCTGAAACAGTCTCATTTTGCTAGGTGGCTAGTCTTGTGCAGCCTCTAGAATGCTTAGAATATTAATGCACAGAGAGGAGATTGAATGCTCTCTATAGTTCCTTTAGGACAAAGTGTGTGTATTGTTTTAATCAAAATGCATGTAAAACCTAACTAAAATAATTTATAATAAATTAATGCCACTGAGTGCTTAAGAGAAAGGACCCCTTTTGGGGAGATATTGCATCAGAACCATAGAATTTGGCATTTTTCCCCCCTCTTCATACTTGACCGTGTATATTAATTTCTGTAGAATTTAATTTCTTTCTTGGGTGCCTCATTCTGAAGTGCTTTGAATTTCTATGAACACAGATAACCTGATATTTAGGTGAGGGTGGGTCTAGTTTATAGTAGGCTACCAAGGGAGGAAGTTATTTATGGAGACAACATAGGTTGGAAGACATAAATATTTGATTGAATGCTTACTGTGTTCGTCTTTATCATTTCTTATTAAGCCTCCTTCCTCTGAATTGTTATATGTCTTTTATATTTTTCCCCTTCTAGCTTTTGCTCCAGTGAGGGGCCATGGATGGGTGTCAGGGGTTTCTTTAACCATCTGAAATTGTAGCACTGATTTTGTCATCAAGTCACATACCTGGGGAGTACGCACTCCTCAAACTGCTTCTTAACCACACAAATCCAGTTCATTTTTTTTTATTAAATTATTTTTTATTATGAAATACACATTTTTTAGAATTAGTTTCAGCTGTACAAATCCAGTCCTTTAGTTCCATTTCTCATCAGCGCTCATGCTGCCACTGTATATGGTATACCGCTTCATCTCGAACGTCCCATTTGCCCTTTGCCAACTCCAGGTCATTGAAACAACCACCACGTGACGCATTCCCCTACACTTAGGTACTGGCTGAGTGAAAGGCTTCGCCATCATTGGCGGCCATCAGTCTTGTCCAGTGTTGTGAATCTGCATAACTCTTCTTGCTTCAGCTTTATCTCAGCGGGGCAAAGGCAGCGGTGGTCAATTCAAGTGGTTCCCGAGTACCCCAGCTGTCTCCCTTCCTGCAAATGGAAGCGTTCCTTCGCACCCCCCAGAATCTCCCAGTAATCTTAATCATCCTCCCAGTATAAAATACGGAAGGATGTCTCCTCATTCTGAAAATTGATGTACAGTGTTATGGGCCCGGCAAAGAGCGCTATTGTATTCCTAGCTTTAGGATGTACGGCTAATTTTTAGCATTTTAAAGCAAGGTAAATATTTATATTTATAAACAGTAAGACTATTAATTCTGGTGAGTGTGTTTGGATATCTATAAATCAGAGGCAATTGAAGAGCTGAAATTCAGATTTCCTTACACTTGTCTGCCAAGTGGCCTCAATCAGAAGTAATTTTCCCCATGAGGGCACATGGAACTCAGTCGTGAGCCTTTTCTGAGCAGATATTATTATTTGTGTCAAATTACGTGTGGTGATTTTTCTGAAGTGGACTTCTGTGCCCACTAATCCATACATAGGAGGTTCCTTCATTCCCTCCTTCATTGGTGCTATTAATTGTACTTGTGCTCCAAGTGTCTCTTACCTTTTTAAAATGTTCGTTTATGGCCACCGATGATCTGTAAGGTTTTCCTGTGAAAGGAAAATGCAATATAGAGAGTAGAGTGAGATCTGATCTTAAACCATAAATATTATGCATTTTAAGAGAAACTTTTTTTTTTTTTTTCTTCCCAGAGCCTGATTTGATAGCATGGCTAAAGGAACGGTTAGTAATTCCACATTTAAAAGTACAATACGTTATATAAATCTGACACTTGCTTTGGGGAGAAATACAAGTTGGCATTTAAATCACTATCCTGTGGCTTGTTCTAAATATTGAAACTGAGATCTCATGTGTTTTCAACAATGAGCTCAAAAGAATTTTTTCACTTTTCATTTTGGTTTCTGTAGTTTGTTTTTGTGAAAATAAGTACTTCTTTTCAAATTATGTGTTTGGACTTGCCAATTGATAGCTAACATGTAAAACAAAATAGTCCTTGGAATACAGAGTAGTATACTATCACTTAAGATTGTGTCTTAATCTTTGATAAATAAAAGTTTTATGTATGTGTCACAGGGATGACTTGGTTAGAGGCTTATTAAGCATAGATCAATGCTTTGTGGTTTTGTTTCCTTTTAAATTTTCACATGAGCTTTTCCGTTTGATTTTTAATAAAACTATTGCATTTGATAGCATAGAATGGGAGCCAACTTGTTAAGTCACTGAGTATTTTAAGTAGTCATTCTGTTACATATTATCTTTAATAAAACCTCCTCTAAGAATTAGCATATATGCTCAAAATTTCATTTATTAAAAAGAAAGCATTTTTATTACTATTGATTTTTTTTACTTATAATATGCAGTCCTTCTCTTTTTGTAATATACAGGCTTTTATAATTGAAGAGCATCCAGAAATTAAAAAAAGGGATTCACTAAAATATGTATGAACTATTAAAAATACTTATTTTACAAAATAGACATTTTTTTGTTAGCAAAACTCTTAAATATTGTCATTTTTGTTATTGTTGCTATTCGGGCCATTTCTTTACTGATTGACTTAGTATGAATATAAACTATGCAGGTAATTAAATATTAGTAATCAATTATTTTAGTGTTGATAAAGTCTACAAGATGATCTTTGTGATTTTTTGGGGGACTGTCTAATATTTTGTAATATGTATTCTCAGTAATCTGAGAAGAGCAACAAGAGGATTCTCAATTTTTAAAGACTAGATCTTTAAGCATCTATGAATAGTTATATTAATATGAATTAACAAATTTTGAAGATCCTTATGTTTATGAGTTATTTATATTTTACAGTTTTATTTATGAAGGAGTTGTGTTTATAAGTACTAAAGAATGGCTTGCATAGTAGTCTGCTATATTAATGAAAGGTACTTTAAAAATCTTGAATGATGTGAAACATCAACTTTTTTACTACTTAGTAACTTTATTCTGGTTAACTAACCTCATGAGCTTTACTTTCCAGATCTACAAAATAAAAATAGTAAAAATTCCCATACCCACCTTGCTGTGTTATTTTAAAGATTACAGGACAAAGTGCTTTGAAAGTCCTACATGAAACACAAATGAGACAGCTTTACAAATCTTCTTTTGACCAAAATTGTTATAATTGTTTTGAAAAAATATGGAATATATTTTATATTACTACTGATCAGACTCAGAATTAATAATTAGAATTATCAGATGTTTAATATTTTACATTATTACTATTTTATGTATTTTTTGCATATCTTGTTACTTAACATTTGTTTTAAAAGGCAAAAAACTCTAGTTTTAAACTGAAATAATAAATAAGAAATAAAAACTAACATGAGATCCGTGAATTTTGAATGTGGTCTGTACAAAAATCCATTGCTTTTTTAAACCCTCCACCTTGAGTACAAGAAAACACATTATCGGAGTGTTTGGAATAGGGGCACGCTTTCTTCCTTCACATTTGTTATTTTTCTTTTTTTTATATTAAATTTATTGGGGTGACAATGGTTAATAAAATTACATAGGTTTCAAGTGTCAAATATATGATGGTGGAAGGAGAACTGAATGTGGGTGGTGAACATTTGTTATTTTGAAGAAAAAAAGAAAAATAATTTTAAAAAGGACAAAGAAACTCCGTAAGAGATTTTTTGCTTGGATGTCCCTTAATTAAATGCATGCAACTGATTCTTTACCTGAAAAAGTGTCATATGAATTCAGCTCGTTTGAAAGCTGGCTTTTGGGAAAACCAGATATACTCCTGTGCTGTATGTACCTATTTCTGTTTGCCCACACATCTATAGAAATTGTAATATATGTACTATTTTAAATTATAAGATTTGTCCTCTGGTCCTGAAAGTTTTCTAGCACACTGCTAAGAAGTGAGGGAAAAATACCACCTAAGCCTTTTAAGTATTTAGCTTGTCTGACAAGAACTGACATGAGTGACAATTAGTACAAATTACAATTGTGTTCTTTGGATAAAATGCCATGTTTTTTTAGGAGCAAGTGCAGGCTTCTGCTTAGTAAAATGAGTCGTAGATTTTGATTCTTTAGGCCAGTCAGAAATTGACTGTCAGCGGTGTGGTGTTCCCCACGTTGTCCACTTCTGATCCATCCGAACAACTACAGCCCTCCCCTCTCCTTTCAATAAAATAGGGCCATTAATGTAGTGTACCGCACTCTCATTCACTCTAAGGAAGTTGTATTTTTATTACTGAAAAAGTACCACATAAATACAAATTACATTTTTTCATTAGAAAACTAGTTTTCATTTCAGAAAAAATTCAATTAATTATGAATAGGTGTATGCTTTCATCAGGGAAAGAAATATGTAATTTTTCTTCAAGCTTCAAGCCCATATAATGAAATCTTTTCTCGGAATCCACTCTTAAGATGGATTTTTTAAAGTATGGACTTTATTAAAATCTCAGTTCAATTAAAATGCATTCAGTGACTTTAAATCTTTATTAAAATCTCAGGTAAAATTATACAACGGTGTAAAAGAGACTTGTACTCTTTACCAGGCAGTTAATTCTGACAAATGAATGTAAAGAGCACAGTTTTGCTCTTCAGGGGAGAATAAAAGAAGAAAGCTTTGGGCTTGAAGATGGAGGTGGGAAAGGATTGGAGATGGAGGTTGTTCTCTGTGGAGTAACTTCAGGCGCTGGCTTCTTTCCACTTCTCATCGTGGGTCAATGCTACTTGTGAATATGAATGTGGCATTATCTTGTGTGCGGACCCTTAGTTGTACTATTTGGCCTCGTCATAGAATACATTTTCCTCACCACCTGAATCAAAAAGATCCTATGTAAGGGTTTTATTTCACTGTCTTCTTTGGGTATTTTTGGTACAGTGTCCCTGATTCTTTTTCAAGGGCCGCTAGAAGACGCCATTGAAGAGGAAGAAGAGGAGTGTCCGTCAGAGGAAACAGACATCATCTCAAAGGGGGACTTTCCATTGGAGGAAAGCTTTTCTACAGAATTTGGGCCTGAAAATCTGAGCTGTGAAGAAGTGGAATACTTTTGTAACAAAGGTAATCATTAATGGTTGGTTGCAACATGTGAGTCCATTTACTCAGATGATTTTGTAAAGTTTAAAAAAATGCACTGATAGAGTGGAACAAAAGTGCTCAAATTGCTAGTACATAATTCAACAGCCTGAGAATATGTGTAGGATTTTTAAAACAAAATATTATTTTGAAGGATACAAGAAGTAATTCCACTTTAGAAAGTCCTAGTGTATATGTAAACAGTTTCATGTTGATTGGCCAATTGACTGTGAACATTTTCATGTTGATTGCCAATTGACTATAATACATTTAATGTTTAACAGTTCATTTATTTTTGCAACTAATATTTATTGAAGGTCAATTGTTTGCAAGGCATTAAATGTGGCACTGAGTGTCAGCCGTGAATGGGGCAGAGTCCTTGCCCAAGGTTCACTCCTTTTGAAGACTGAATGCCTTAGGTGTTTGATGTTCAACATTGAGGGTGGTGCTTTTTTAGATATTGTCAAGTGAGAAAATACACACTCTTTTTCCATTCTAGATACTCTTTTGACAAACTAACATCAGAATGGAAGAAGAGCTTGAGACAAGACAGCTCAAGTTATTTCACCTTGACTTGGAGCCAGGTGGCCCCTGCCAGTAACTAACTATGTCCTACTGAGCATGTGTACTTGCTTGCTTGCTTTTTTTCAAAAGTGTGTTTAAGGTTCTCATGATTGTTTTTTATTTTATTTTTATTTTATTGTTTTGTCTCTGAAAGTGAGGGGAGCCTTCTCTTGCCTCCTGCACCAAGGTACAGTTCCACAAGTGTTTTCAATCGCTCCCTTGGTTTACATCAGCTGTTTTTGCTGATTTTACCATGACAGTTTCCCAGAGAACAGGACTGAGCGTGCGTGTCTGTCTCTGTATGTCTGTTTGTGTTTGTGTTTGCACCCTTTTTATTCAGACATGTATTTTTTAGGCAGACAGAGAAATTAGGTGAAGTGATTTTTTTAATGTGTTTGTCAATTCATTCATCAGACTTGACAGTCTAAAATCAAGGATGCTGATATAGCTTCTCTCAAAACTGCTAATAATACACATCTCTCAGTAGCCACATAAACAGTGTACATTGATACAGATTATTAAAATTCCAGAATGGCTTTCCCCTGGTATTAGAAACAAAAGAAGCAGCCAGTTTCCATCCTTGTGGTCTGTCGAACCCCATGCTCTAAAACTGGGGAAATCAAATGGCCGCACTAGCACCTGGATACATTGACGTTCAGAAAACTTCTTTGATCGTTAACTCCTGAAGACCTCAAGATGGCCTTATAACCTGGTCCTCGTCTCCACACTTTGGACACTCTTTGACACTTAGGTTGAAAATGAAAATGGTACACACAGAATAGACCTTTTTTGTTAGTGCTGACTCAGATTTCAAGCCAAATAAATATTTTTCTTAGTTGTTCTGGATGTTAGAACCATGTTTTGATGATACTAGCCACATCAATACATATAAGAACTGGCTGGAAAGGAAGAGTTTTTAAGTCTGTTTGAAGATCCCATTTTACTGCTTTATCAGGAAAAAAATCCGTCAGTCCCTTGAAGAGAACCTACCTTATATTGTGGGATTGCAATAAAGGCAAGGGACCAATTTAGAAGGCCCCATTTATTCTTCTTAATCTTGTCATTTTAAAAGAGTTAGGGCATGGGGCCGGCCGAGTGGCGCGATGGTTAAGAACTGGCTTGGGATGCCAGAGGGCCCCGGTTCGGATCCCACAGATGAGGGCCAGTGACACTGTCCTCCACAACTAAGATGCTGAACAACAGCTCAACCTGGAGCTGGGCTGCCATGAGTCACCGGCTATGGTGTAGGCTGCAGCCCCTGCTGCAGTGGGTTGCCATGGACTACCGTGTGTAGCCAGCAGCCGCAGTGAGCGGCCGTCCAGAAGCCGGGGACTGATCTGCCTCTCCCAGGAAGAGCGCAATGATGGTGCCAACTTGGGCCTGTGAAGCAACGTCCTCCACAACTAGAGTGAAGAACACAACGACAGCAACTTGTCTGTTCCCCTTCCCCCAATTCCCCAGCACTGTTCCCATCCCCCCAATTCCCCAATTAAAAAAAAAATCTTAAAAAAAAAAAGTTAGTGCATGGATTCAGACATTTTTATCAATTTAATTAATCCAGGGAGGCATTAATGATAAGTATTACTAGATATATTGTATTTTGCATATTGGGATGACTGTTGGTTAAGGCCTATGTTTAATGAAAGAATATAGAACTGCAAGTTTTAAGTTAGTATTTTCTTAGAAGAAAATAGACTTATGGCAGGTGCTTACATGATTACATAATTATGGTCTCAAAAGAATAATGTCCATCTACACTAAACAGAGCCCTAATTCATGAAAAATAATAAGCTTTTAGGAACTAAAATAAATTTGAATTACAATTATTAAGCACATTGTTTAGTGGATATTTTCGTTAATTGATGAAGTTGGAAATTTAAAAAATATGTAAATAATATTTAATATATTATTAATATATTTTGTATTATAATCTTTAATGTTTATTTTGTAACTAAAAAGAAGTGATAGGTGGGAATAAGAATTCTAATTTTACAGTGTATTTTTCAGGATAAATACTATTACTATTTCTAACTACTGTCACCTTATTTAATAGGAAAGTAATTTCATTATTTCACTCTCATAGAATATGGGACCAGGGAATTCCCACTGAAGTCAGTAGGAACTTCTGTGAAAGAGATGCAGCTCTTTGATATATATTGCATCCCCTTGAGGTCATACAAGGGATTCCATCCATTTTTCACTTAAGTTGATTAGCTACAATAGGAAGAGAAAATTTTCTCTCTGGAAAATTATAAGCTAATCTTTCTGTAGAAATTTACATATTAGTCTCGGTGACACATAATTATGTTTTCTTGCCAGTTGCGGGGAAGAAGATAGATTAGGCATTAAAAGAGTACAGGTAGTTAAATGGTTAATGATACCAGTGTCATGATAAAAAAAAAAGCAGGTAAGAACTGTTCTTAAGAAAAAAAATTTTAACTTAGGATCATTGATGAAATATACTTTTTGCACATATTCAAAATTATTTATGACAACTTAGAACTTGCACATATATATATACACACACACACATATATATATATATGTGTTAGTGTGTGTGTATGTGAAAATCAGTTGGTTTATTTGGAAAGTTTCTTTGTCTAAAGATCTAACCATGATCAAAATTCAGCAATGACATATTTGCTTTATGGGTCCCAGGGATAATGTTTTTGAACATCAATGTTTTTTCTCTGATTAAACAAAGGATAGTAGTTTAAAAACGCAGATCACAAAAACGTGGCTAAAATATCTTAAGTTTTCTAAAATTTTCTAAACAAAGAGTTTTGACACACTGTTAAGAAAGAGTACTGAGAATACACATATAGTTACAATATATCTTTATTCATATTTTAGAAACTGTGTTTTGTATAAAAGCAATCATATGCTATTGTAATTTTCCTATTAAAAATAAAGAAAATAAACTCTATTCTTTGTTGAGATAGTTTATTATAGGTTAAAGTTCCTACTTCTTTTCAAAATTGAGCTTCTACATTATACAGGATATTTTCAGTGTTTAGAATGACTCACTGCTTATTACTGGAGTATTTTCCTCAGTTCCACATACATATTATCTACTTTGTTTTTTGTTGTAAAATGGCAGGTTTTTTTAAAAGCCTCAAAGTATTTGTTAATATTAGTAAAGTTGCTAGTCATCATAAAACATATGATTAAATATGATCCACATCACTCTCATAATGTAATATTCCACAGAAATATCCAAAAATGTTGGTCAGAACTTTTTGTCAACTTTAAAGTGTATAGAATTCTTAATCATATATGAATCTAAAGCAGCTGTTCTCAACCTTCCTAATGCCGCGACCCCTTAATACAGTTCCTCATGTTGTGGTGACCCCCAACCATACAATTATTTTCGTTGCTACTCTATAACTGTAATTTTGTTACTGTTATGAATCGTAATGTAAATATCTTTTTGTTTTCCGATGGTCTTAGGCGACCCCTGTGAAAGGGTCATTCAACCCCCAAAGGGGTTGCGACCCACAGGTTGAGAACCGTTGATCTAAAGCATAAATATTCATAATTAAATGTGGAAAAGATCAGTTTTAATAAACCCTTATTATATTCACAGGCCTAAAATTTGAACCTGACAATTCTTTTGACATTTCCTATGTCAGTTTTTACTTTGGGTTAGTTGTACATTTTTTTTGTTTTTATTTTTCATCTTTGAAATGAATGAAATGAACTATGTTTATTTAAAAATACCATCTCAAAATTGTTTTGATACCTTTAGATTTTAAGGATTTTAGCAAAATATAAAGTAATACTTTTAATTTGCATCTTCTTTTGTTTAATGAGTTTAGATCTTTTGGCATCTTGCCTTACAGTATCTCTGAGAGGAAGGAAACAAGCAAGAATTATTTCCTTGAATTTACCGATGACGGAGACATCAAGGCTGGGTCCATAAGTGGTACACATGTCCTATAGTACTGGATTATTTGCTTCAGTGATTTTTTTTCCCCCTGCTTTTCTTCTGGTTTATGTAGTAAACATAGAAGTGCATCTATGCATGTTTAGAACTAAGAAACTAATATAAATTGAAAGACAGGTTGTTTGGGGAAACAACCTGAGGAACTTTTAGTTAGGTCACTGCTGGCAGGTGAAAACTTATTTATTAGCAATTCTGAGATTAACTCGGAGACAGTGAGTTTCGTAGTGGAGTTGGCATAGAGCAGTTCTAAAACTGACCTACTATTATTAATGGGAAGAGGGTTTCCTCACTGAAGTCTTCAAGTTTATTAATGACTAAAGTGAATAAACATATTTTGGGATACATTCCAGAAGCATGTCACAGGATATTTGAACAGGAAGAAAAGTGTCAGGTCAATATCACTGTAGGCTAGTAGAATGTAATGTTATTAAAAACAAAACAAAAAACCTCTAAAGAAACTGCATGTCAGTGAACT